CTGATCTGGCCTATGCAGTCGGGGTACTGTCACAACATCTCGATAGACCTTCCATCTCTCATTGGAATGCAGCCCTTCAAGTCTTTCGATATCTGAAAGGAACGGTTCACTTGGGTATCACTTACAACGGCAAGATTTCAACTCGAGTCTCTGGACAGAAGAGTTTCGATTTACCTGTCTCTCACTGCGACGCTGATTGGGCAGGCGACAAATCCACACGACGTTCAACTACTGGCTACATATTCACTTTGGCAGGGGGTGCATTGTCCTGGAGGAGTCGTTTACAACCAACTGTAGCTCTGTCTTCAACAGAAGCTGAATATCGCGCCGTTACTGAGGCAGGTCAAGAGTTGCTGTGGCTACGTCGTATGATGGAGGCTTTTGGATGTCATGATGCTCAACCTACGATTCTTCAAAGTGATAATTTAGGTGCTATTCATTTAACAAGCAAATCAACTTTTCATGGAAGGACAAAACATATAGAAATTCATCATCATTGGATACGTGAAGTAGTCAAGAATGGTGACATTAAACTCAAGCACTGTTCAACTGGTGAGATGGTAGCTGATCTTTTAACTAAAGCCTTGGGTAAGCAACAGTTCATCAAGCTACGAAGCAAGTTAGGTTTAATTCAAAATGAGCCTCAATAGTCTTGAGGGGGTGTGTTGGAGAATGGTATTCTCGAGTGATGTTTCAAGTCTATTAAGGCTGTAGTTTATTTAGACCAATCCGGTAAGAAGGAAAGGTGAAGAGGTTGTGAAGGCTTAAGTAACATATCAATTCAAGAGGAGGATTAAGGAAGGATGTCCGCTTTTGGTTAGATTAAAAGAGTTTTGTTTAAAAGTTGTTTCAGTAATTGTTTTACGTTGTGTTTGTTCAAAATGTGTCCTGGTTGCTTTTCCCTTATCAACCCCCCCTCTCTCCCTTCCGAATCTTTTTCCCCATCGAGGAATTAGATTTTGAAGGTGAGAGTCTTACAAACATTTTTCCCTTATACAAAACCATTACTAAAAATTAACTTTGTTCTTTTACATACTCTGGTTTCTTTTTCTTTTAATCTTTCTTTCGTCTTTACTTCTCTAGTTTTTCTTTACCTTTATATCTTCCTCGCAACCTCGTCAGGTTCGTCTAAAGGAGTTTAGCACTCACTTTCATCTGTCAGCCCGTGTCTCGTCAACACCAGGCTAAGTGTCTTTTACACCTTTTTAAAGGTTAGTAGTTATTATTGTGTGTGTGATATGATGATCGAGGAATTAGATTTTGAAGTTTTTCTTTACCTTTATATCTTCCTCGCAACCTCGTCAGGTTCGTCTAAAGGAGTTTAGCACTCACTTTCATCTGTCAGCCCGTGTCTCGTCAACACCAGGCTAAGTGTCTTTTACACCTTTTTAAAGGTTTCTGTCGTAGATCAACAGCGTCGAGCTTGTTTTTTTTACAATACTGACTGTTCAGAGCCTTGATTTGATTTGATGTTTCCAAGTCAAAGTTGACAGTGATAGATCAATAAACCACACTAAACAAATAGAAACGGGTGGGTTGAGTTGATACAATTAGAAGAAGCAAGTGAAATGGTTTAATGAACGCAAGAATCAATTCACCAAGCCAGCAGGGTGTCCAAAAAATGGGATGAAAGAGGTTGAGGAGCAGGCATATGAAGACTTTTTGGTTGAGTAGCTTGTCTTCAAAGGCATCCAGGAAATAATGGCGCAATTGCAGTACCCGCTGCCATCTCGTCCAGCTGGTGAGATTATTGCAGTCCAGTGGGTGACAAGGTTGTTTGTCTCAAACGAGAGACAAGCAAATAAGAATGCTGCTCAAACAAGCAATGAGCAATAATAAGTTGTGTTTGCAAGATGGATGTGCAAGAGAAACACAAGTTCCTCATGGTCACTGCTAAGTCCAAAAGGGCCAAGAAATGAAAAGTCAGAAACCGAGTAAAATCTGGAGGACAAAAAAAAACCATTATTTCTCACAACAGCTGTAGCTGACACCTTCCAGATACTGGCTCACAACCCTTGGCCTCAATATTGCTGTACCTTTGTTGCTTGTTGTATCCTGGGTCACCCTCAATCTGCTATGGTTGAATTTTTTCCCACCAGATTCTTTCCTTCTGGAGCTTCAGCTTATTGCAATTGTGCTATTGTCATTGGAATCAACTAGAACTGTCACAAATTCAAATGATCAAGGTTTGCATTCTTCAACCAAACAACTCAATCAAGTAACCTGCACCTACAGCAAACCAGTGCTTTGTCCAGAAAAAGAAAGCCAAGTTCAAGTCAATCTCTAGGCTGTCTTCCACTGTTGATTGTTTCATCCACTCTGGACTCAATTGACCAAATTGGACTTTTTCATCAAGCATCATTGTTACAAAAAAGATACTTTTGAGGGAGTTCTACTGACCAACAATCTCATTCCATGCTATCAACTCGAATCAAATCAAATCCTATAATTTCATCACAGAGATTATCTTGGTTTAAAATTATCCATCAAATCCACCACTGATCTTGTCTTCTGCTTTGATTTCATTCAACCAACACTGCAAAGCCGTTGTTCTAGCATCATCAATAAAGGAAGTCCTATCACCAGAAGATACCATCCATCCACCTTGATACACAAAGAGAGAAATATCTTGCCTTCAATCTCTTATCTATAATTTCTACCACAGATTTTTCTTCCGCTTCAATTTCTTCCATTCATCCAGTTCGGCAGCTGGCTCTTACAAACATCATCATTACATCATCACAAAAAATGGGTGGGAATCAAACTTTGAATTGAATATCTTGAACAAACTATGTGCTCTGTCATCAAATCATAGTCAAAACCTATGAAGCCAACCTCATCTTCTCAGATTCCAGTTTCAAGAAAGTTTTAATCACTAGCAAAGTTTTCATCCTTGTGAATGCTCTCCTTTTATTGCTCTCACATTCATCATACCCACAAAAGGCTTACCTTCTTTAGTCACTTTCCTCTGATTTTTTCTTTACAACACAGGCTTGAGGTTGAAATCCTCTCTTTCATTTTTCATGTCTGATTCAGGAAAACTGTCATCTTTAAGATTATTTCTGCAAAATATAGTCAGTCTTGTTTCTCATATTGGGGGCGCGGCGTACAAGACACACCTTTGGCGCGCCTACACCTCAGAGAAATCAATAAAATTGGGATCTGCACACCTTCTTGAAAATCACTACAAATCTCAGGAGTTCTACATCTGATCACCAATATTGGAGTTGTCAACAACAGTAGTAGGACTTTGATGACAATTATTTTTGATCCATCTCACCTTTAAATGCAACAATGCTGTGGTAGATAGCTCTAGAAGGACAAATGTAGAATATCCTTTGACAAAAAAGCAGCATTTCAGCTCTCAGCAAAAAAATCAAACAAAACACACCCAATAAGTCTGTCAACTGAAATTCACTGCTCAGCATGTAAGTCTGACATCACCTCTTTCTGTAGCAATGTTAAGTTTTTCAGCTTCCACTAATCCACCAAGATCCAATACCAGCCTACCTTGCCAGGACTGGCGCGACAGGCCTTTTTTGGAAATCTGGTTGGCGTGACAGAGGAGTTCGCGCCTACATCTTCAGGCCATGTCCGCTCTCTAAGAGTAGGGCTCATATGTACATACCTCAACTTTGGCCTGAGACCAGCAAGAATTGAAGCACTTTTGTTTGAAATCCCTTCTTGAGAGCTCTGAACATTGTGAAACCTTGCAATAAAGTCAGCAGAGCTTCTTCATACTCTTCTACTTCTCCTTGTACTATTTCTAGCTTGTCACCAGTCCTAGGTTGTGAGGAAACTTGGTTCCAATATCAAGTGATCCTGACAGCTAAGACCCAGATTTACAAGAACTCAACAACTTGACGGTGTCACTTCACGTGACCAGTTCGGAAGAGGGGCTTAGTTAAGCTTAGACTACAAGTCTTGCATCTTATACTTAAGCATTGCTCCATTTGCAAAAGAAAGATGTGTCCAAACTCCAGAGCTTACAAATGACAATCGCGACTATCACATAAATATGTCTTTGGTGGCGATGATTTTTCATCCAACCTGAGATTCTGCATGAAGTGGGGGATCATAGTTGTGGAGGAGTTGTACCGAGATGAGACTGAACTTCTGAAGGAAGTGTTGCAGTTGGTTTGATTTATTGAAATTGAGTGAAACAGGACCCTGGAAAGCTCCTGGAGAACAAACCGTCCTGAGGGGGTTTTCGGATACCGGTGTTTTGTGAAGTCATGTCACATGGTACCAGAGATGTGACAGGTGCAAAAGATGCGCCTCAACGAGGGCTATCAGATGGTACACATGTCTGACCCTGAACATGACTGGTGGCTTGGGAAATGTGTGATTTGTAACTTTTGCCCCCCCAGACCGACGAAAATCCATACCGGCTCGGGTCGGGTACTTACATACGGATATCTCGGTGATTACACGTGGTACAAAACTGAAAGTATATGTAATCGAGAGCCCTGATCAAGGCGCTTCTCCTACCACCGAGAAATCCATGTTAACCCACCTCTCCTCGGGGCAAATAGTGAAAGTGTGAGGGCCGGGGCCGGAATGGATCGAGGACGGTTTGTTCTCCAGGAGCTTTCCGGGGTCCTAGTGAAACCACAAGTTGACCGAATTGAAATTTGGATTCGATTTGAAAAATTATACTCAAACTGTAGATTGGCAGCAGAACGAAGCAAGTATACCTCAACTTGGAACCATTCAACATCATGATCTCATTCTCTCGTTCAACAACAAGAACCACAACAACAAGTTCATCATCATTCAGAACATTAAGAACTCAACTTCACCAATCCAATTCATTCAAATCAACACCTTCAAGCTTCAATCTAAATGCTTTCTCATCAAGCTCAAATCAACTTCCTATACCAAGATCTCAACCACTTCATACTCTATCAAAGTCTTTAATCTTTCAACATTCTTCTCCATTAAGTTAGTTTCAATCAAAGCTCTTCATATTCCAAAAGAAAAACGATACTAATACCTGATTTATAGGACTTTCTGATCCTACCCGATACCTTACCAATCTCAATCCATCTCGAACTTTTTCATCAACTCCTTTCTCTTTTCAAGATGTAACGGAACCCGCAGAGCCATCATCAGATCAAGTAGAAGAAAAAACTCCATTCTCTTTAATCGAAAAGCATATTTCACCTCAACTTTATAAAGCTATTGTTCAAAAACCATTTGGATATCATGATATGTCACCCGTTCAATCAGCTTTACTTTCAGATTTACCCACTCTATTACATAATCCATCTGATTTAAATTCAACTACCAAAGATTTATTAGTCAAAGCTAAAACTGGAACTGGAAAAACTTTAGCCTTTCTTATTCCTGCCATCGAATCTCGTTTACGTGATCTTAAAGGAGAAGCCGAAAGGTTTACTACTCAAAACCCAAATAGTTCACAACATGATTTATTTCGACATATGAGAACTTATGAAAATGATACGACTGGAATCGTAATCTTATCACCCACACGTGAATTAGCTACTCAAATAGCTACAGAAGCCATCAAACTTACCTCTCATATTAAAGATTTCGGTGTAAGACTCTTTGTAGGTGGAGCCAGTAAATCATTACAATTACGTGATTGGCAAAACGGACGAAGAGATTTGATTGTAGCTACACCTGGTAGGATTTATGATGTGATCAATTCGAATCGATCAATCTTAAATAATGTAGGTACCACTAAAACATTGATTATGGATGAAGCAGATACATTATTAGAAATGGGATTCAAAGATGAAATAGATCAGATCGTACAACATTTACCACCCAAAGATTTAAGATCGACTTATTTATTTTCGGCAACCATTTCACAAGAGATCTCAAGGATTGCAAAAACAACAATGAAATCCGATCTGAAGATTGTAGATTGTGTACCTAAAGGTGAAAGTAATGTACATGCTCATATACCTCAATTTTATACCGTTTTACCTTCACCAGAACATCAATTACGTCATATTTTCAATATCTTAGCACATGATCAACTTTTAAATCCAACCGGAAAATCAATTATCTTTTTACCTACGACTAAAATGACTCAACTCTTTAGTCAAATCTTAATGTCAATGAGACGTCATTTACCTTGGAATGTCACTGGATTAACTAAGATTTATGAAATGCATGGTGGTCGTTCTCAATCTGAACGTGAACATACTGCTCAAGATTTCAGATCTGGAAAAGGTGGTGGTTATCAAGTTTTAGTCACTTCTGATGTTTCAGCTAGAGGTACTTTCTTGAGCTTTACTCCAATGATTTCATGCGTCACATTTACTAACATGACTATTTTTTCTGCTTTCCTAGGTGTCGATTATCCTGGTGTAACTCGTGTCATTCAAATCGGTGTTCCAACCTCTCGAGACATTTACATCCACAGAGTAGGAAGAACTGGTCGAGCAGGTAAAGCCGGACGAGGTGATCTTGTACTCTTACCATGGGAAATCGGATACGTTTCAACTGCACTCCACAACATTCCACTTCAACCATTACCTGTAAGAACCTTAAATGAAGAAGTCTCAGACCTAGTCAAAAAACTAGACGAAAGTGGTGAAGGACCAACGATTGATCAAACACTTTTCCAAAGAACGCCTCAACGTGGAAACCAAAGAGGTTATAATGCTCGGAATTCGAAACCTCAATCATCATCCACAACACGAAAAGTCCAGATGGAATTACCCATCAAACCTCGAATCGATTCATTAGACCAAAACTTGTCTGAAAACATTATGCCAAGTATGAGTGAAGAATCCATCAAAGATTCATTCGGATCGTTATTAGGTTATTATGTAGGAAAATCATCCGATTTAAGAACCAGTAAAGATACAATTCTAAATGGACTTAAACAATGGGCGACCATGTCGATGAAACTACCAGAAGAACCTTACCTTTCTCATGCATTTTTAGCTAGATTAGGTTTCAATACTCCAGAGAGAGGTCATTCTAGAGGCAATTCTTGGGGTGGTAGAGGTAATGGTGCTCGAAGAGAAACTGGATTCAGATCTGGTGGCGGCGGTGGTGGTTATCAAAGCCAAGGTGGTGGATATGGTGGTAGATCTGGAGGAGGTGGGGGTGGGTATGGGAATCGAGTAAGTGAGAGTGGTGGTTACGGTCATCGATCAAGTGAGAACGATGGATATTCTAGAAACCGTACAGCTACTTATGATCGTAGAGACAGAGGATCAAGTTATGGTGGTAATACTCGAGAAAGAAGTTCAGGATCATTTGGTAGATTCAGTGGTGGTGGTGGTGGTAGTAGTAGCGGTAGTAGTGGGGAAAATTATTGAAGATCAAATTTGATAACTGAATAAAGGAAATCAGAAAAAAAGGAACATACATGAATGTTGTATTTATGGATCTGTTTTTTTTTAAAAAAAATGAATGTTTTTCTTATGATTTGAAAGTCTTTGTTTCAAAGTAAATATATCTTTTTTTAGGTTTTTTTGGGGATACATACATATATATAGATAGATTTTGGTTTAATGATCAGTTTTGTTTTTTTATAAAAAAAATCCCTATTCTGTTTAGATATGAATGCTATCAAAAAATTTCTTTTTTGAGAGATCTTGAGAAAGAGAGAGAGTTTGATGTGCATTGTTTGAACCAACCTTTGATCCATCAAAGTCTTGTCATGAATTGTTTTTTCATGATTGGTCCTAACACTTCTCTATGAGTGATCATCATAAAAGGTAGGTCTCACTTTCTGATCCAGCTGATACTTGACCCAACATCAAACTTTGACTCTATAAATTTGTCCAATTTTTCTCGTGTCTTCATTTGTTGGAGATCAAAGTGAATGAGACATCCTTTGAAGTTTTCTTTCTGTCAAGAAAGAAATTGACTGATCAAAATGTTGAAGAGTACTTTCACCCAATGTGATGATTTGATTGAGAAAGATATCCATCACATCTCAGCTTGCCAATGCCACTCGATATCACATTCACAGCATTTCTCTTGAAACTCGGGTAAATATCAGCGGTATCAGTATCCCCATCGGTATGTCCCGCACATCGGCCAAAAGTCACTCCCAACTCGGGCCGGGTCTAGCCAACACATCTCATGATGAAGGGTGCATACATCCCATTCAGCATCGGAACAAACCTTCTCACCTCGACAGCATCATCGATGGTTTTATTCTTCACCTCAAATGGTCAGCTCATACATTTCAAACTCATCTGATCAATCCATAATATTAATGAGTTCCATCATCCTTGATCTTAATCCCATGTATTCAAGGTTAGTTGTCGATCCTACGAACCCCGTGACATTGTAAGCCTATTTGGAATTTTCAACGTATCCTTTCAATCTATAAACTGACTATCTTTGTGTTTCCTCCGAATTTTCATCAATAAAAGGTACATGGGTAAAGATAAAGTGAGACGATTTACTCATTAGGAAAAGATCTCACTAGATGAATATCTCGGGTTCTTCTAATTTGGATTCTGAATGTATATTGATAGCATGAAAACGAATACTTGATCAAACACGCTTGGCCAGAAGATGTATGGTTTCACGTTGACAAAGTGAGAATTTAAGATATAAATCATCTTGCTCAGAAAATGGACATTGATCATCGGTTTCGATACCAGCTCTCGTCTGCCCATGTTTATATTCGTTTACCTAACACGATGTCAGACATGAACGCCATTCCTGAGGCTTTATTACAGTTGAGCTTTCTTGGAATATCTTTCTTGCACATGATAAAAAAAAGAACTGAAAAGGATTCATGTATGTAAATCATAGGGATTGCGCTCAGTTGGTAAAAGCCAACTCAATAGGTTAGAATCTTCCTGACTCATTAGACCGTTTATTTTGGTACTGACTCTCTAATCACTTTCTATCACCGTCTTACAGAGGGAAACAAGAGGGATAACCTGACCATAATCTGTTTGTCTGTAATCCAACTTCATCTCCACACCAACCCAAAAGTCATGCATAAAGTTGAAATCTTCTGGTTATTCTTTTTGGAATCCAGTCACACCTGCTTCGAATTTGAAGAAAACAGGTGATATGGCTATTGGTCAAGTTAGTTTCCATTCTGATAAATTAGTTAAACGGGTTCATATAGCTACCCGTCTTAATCCTATTGTGAATCGATTAAATAAGACAAAGGTAGAAAGGGTAGTAGATTTTGAAGTTGAAAATCTTGAACGTCAAAAAGCTTTGAGTCAAAAAAAGAAAGAAATCGCGATTGAAAAGGTTTGTGAATACATTCATATATGACTTAGCTTTGAAATTGACTTTTGTCTATCTTCACTTATACTGATATATTGTTCTTTTTACGTGCGTACGCTTTGGGTATTCCTAAAATTGGTCAAATAGGCAAAGGCTGATTTACAACTTCAGGCTCAACGTAAGGCTGAGCGAGAAGCAAGATCTTATGAAGCACTTCTTAATAGAATAGAATCACAAGAACATCAAGATAAAGGAGAAAAAGTAGAAGGTTTTGATAGTGATGAAGATTTCATGTAGAGAAGTTTCATTCAGATGTGCTTCTATGCTAACTTTCAAATCTGAGGATTTTGATTGTAAGCTGCCTTCACTTGAACAGGTTCTTTGGAAAATTTGCAATGAATGTTTTAGATATTGCATGTTGTGTCTCAATGATTTCATTATGTAGCTTCGATACTACCTTTTGATAAGTTCTGATGGAAATTCAAAGTGAACGGAATGGCAGAAGAGAGACACGATGGGGATTTTTGAACTCATTGGCAATCTCATTTGAAAATATAGTTTACGGCAAGGGTATATACAGTATATGGCCGAGTTGGTTTGCCCAACGTAAAATGAAGGCCAACAAGACAGATAAGAAGTTATGATTCATGAAATCATTGCAACAGATTGATGACCAAAATCTTGAACAATCCTCTTCTTATGATATTCTTGAGATGATACAAAATGCCCAAGCATTGATTTTTCTTCTGTGATCTAATGATCCACCATCTGGCACTGCTCACATACTAAAAACTTACTCATAGGTGATATGGTAGCAGGAGTATCAAACAAATAAAAGAAAATTGGATCGAAATGAAAAAAAACGGCCGCAGGATTTGAAATTTTGTTGTCACCGAAACCTAAACCCTTTTGATCTCACTCACTCCAGAGATACATTGTCCATTTTTTCTACATTTTGCTGAATCCATCGCTTCCGGTCATGTTAACGGCGACACAGTCGCCGTCGACACCGAAAATCCGTGGCATCAACAGACGGGGCTCGGCTATGCAGAGACCGTTGACAGTTCCATCTTGGCTTCCGCACACATTTTATTCGCTGAGGGTTCCATTCCTCATCATTGTCAATATCTGGGTGCTCAGCGAGACAGCGCTCAGCTCATTGTAAAGATTCGTTGTCACTCTCCGCTTGGGTCTCCGCAACCCAGTTTCGTTCGCTTGGAGATGTGACCTACATCATTGTCATCATTGAACATTCGACCGTTGGCGTGGCATGAGTTACACAAGCTCGACATCTTTTGAATCTGCCGACAGTCACGCGACTTCATTCAGGGTTGAGACCTTACCTCAACAGAGACACAAGCTACTGCTTAGTACTTACCAAGCGCCCATCCAAACCAGTCAGCGAAGTACGATCCCACGAGCTTGACCTGCTTTTGCATCTCTAGGCATGATTCAACTGAAACAGGCCGAGCATCGAACCTTGGTTAGGGACTTGACCAGGCAACGCGCTTTCACCGACTATGAGTCCAGACTAGCTCGCGATGTAGATCAGCCCTATCATCACGGACAGCCAGTAGCATCGAACCTTGGTTAGGGACTCGACCAGGCGACGTGCTTTCACCGACTATGAGTCCAGACTAGCTCGCGATGTAGATCAGCCCCATCATCACGGACAGCCAGTAGCATCGAACCTTGGTTAGGGACTCGACCAGGCGACGCGCTTTCACCGACTATGAGTCCAGACTAGCTCGCGATGTAGATCAGCTCTATCATCACGGACAGCCAGTCACGAGAAGGAACAGTATGATAACTTCTTGGCTGATTCGACGCATGAACCATGGAGGGCTGAAAACACGAATCAGGAGTCGTCATGCTCAACGTATATAAACTGCGTTGATCACATCCTTAAAATGTCACTATCTTCCAATACTAGATTCATTGATTGAATCACTTTCGCCTTATTATCTCATTTTCGCCTCACTATATCAATTGTGCAACTCGATTTATTGACTAAATCACCCACCGTCACCTTTCTCACCCAACGCAAGATCCAAGATGTCGAAAACTGCCACCAAGACCGGAACTCCAACCCCATCCCACACTGTTAGAGTAAGCTTCATGGGCGAAGCTGGAACTGAGGTCAGCGTAATTAACCTTGCCTCATGTTGGAAATCGCGTTGACACATTCTTTCCGACAGGCCTTTGCCAGGCTCAATGGAGCGAAAGGTTTCATTTCTCATCATGCATCCATTGCAACAACTGGAATGAATGGCGGAACTCCGTTCAAAAACCCCATACAACTGTCCTCTTACGGATCACAAGCTGACACACTCATACCTCGAAATGTCTACGCGATGAATTGCAAGCTCATTGGCACTAACAACAACACCGACGATCAACTTCACTTCGAAAACATCAATCGTATCAACCTTGGCAGCGTCAACCGCTTTGGCGAGTTCTTTGTCGGTGAGCTCATTGACAAGATAACCATGATCGCACTTGGCATAGTTTATTCCCGCGATTTGATTCAAGATCCGGCTCATGGGGGCAAGAGTACAGTAGTCATAACTCTCAAACACACTGATTATGATCCGTTGGTCAGTGTTGGTCGATTTTGCTGTCAAAGTTCTATCTGACTATTCTCATTCTCAGACTCGCGGTCACGTCACCTTCTTCACAAGGCACTTTATTCCCCCAGCGCGCAATATGGAGAAGGCGCAAAACATATGTCAACTTGGTCGAGAACTGCAATTGACGGGTCAGATCAAAGATTACAACACGGAACTTTTCATGTGGGAAAACGAAGTTAGTATACACAGTCTCCTTCACCAACCGTACACTGACGATCTCTTTTGCCAGGTCACTGCGATTAGTGTATGCTATGGCGAAGTCCAATTAGCAACTCCTTCTCCTGCTCGCGGTCCTGGGGGTCCTTCAGGTGGCCGTGTCCCATTGTCACTGTGCGTAATGTTCTTCGTTTTGATATGACACCACGCTCATCATTTCTTTCCAGTGGTCGAACTGTGCGACCCGTAGCCAGCACGTCATCAGCTGTTCCCTCCGTCACCAGTGAAATACAAGTAATCCCCGAAACCGAAGTTGAACCCGAACCCAACGAGGAGGAAGAAGAAGCAGAAGCCGACTCTCCGCTCGCCGACATGACCAACAACGTCTATGGCAAACGGCCACGTCGTCACTGAAGGGGTTAGGTCCTCTACATTACGACGTTTAGTCACTTTTCAAGATGGTCCTGATTTGCATTATGCCATCATATGGATACTGTTGCGTTACTCACTTTATTGTATCATAGCTGTATATTCTGTCTATATCCAAATCTTCACCTCTCTGTTATCAACATGTTAATCATTTCTTCCTATCATGCATATTCACAACACTCTTTCGTTTTATCATCATTGTTTTACCACTGCGTACATAGTGATAGCGTAGCTACAATTCGGTGCTTATGAAGAAATTGTTTGTTGACCCTCATTTCCTTCACGGAGCCTATGAACCTCATGCCACTGGCCTACCCATTACGAACCTACTATGGTCGCTGCCGTCTTTTCAAGTCATGGCGTAGACTCTTTGAATAGGTTCGCGAGTTCTCTATGTAATGGGCAACGTCCGCCTCACGGGAACATCAAATTCATGGGCAGCTAAGAGCGTTCAACGTTGCCTGACATTGGCGATTCAGCCCACGACACCTGGAATTCAACGAGTACTCTGTGTAATGCACAACGTCCGCCCCACTGGCAAATCACTATCACGAACAGCCCAGGGCGTTCATCATCCTCATGACATCTGCGACCTGGATCAGAACACCTGGGCTCCAACAGATTGAAAGACTCTAATCGTTTGCACGCCCCTAGGATCCTGTTCCGCAGTCTCGCAAACTTGCTTATTTACTACCGCGAAACAGAGTCAGCCCCAAATAGCGGCATGAGTCGTTCCCGAAATCATGACGATGCGGTGGTCAATGATTTCGACCAGCGCCTTTTTACGCCCGCAGTGACCAAATCCGTAGTTCCGTTATCCAGTCCCCGTCGTCAATGCATGGCACTTATGTAGCCGAAAAAGAGTGCCACGCCTAATCAGCTATCGTCGCTCAATCCTTTGTAGCTATCTGTAAATGGTCCTGCACCAGTTCCTGTAAGGTTCGGAAGAACCTTCACTAGATACTTCGAGAGCGGGACGCTGTGAGGCACAGCGGAAGGGTTTTCTAGAACCCAAGAGACCTGATTTTTATATTACTAATCCAAAACGAGAACACGTCTGGTTCCGAAGGATAGAGGGCGATAATCAGTCCCGATATCTCTAAGGAACCCACAACAATAAAGAGAAAGAAAGATAGAAAATGAGTTAAATGACTATACCTGGTTCCGAAGGATAGAGGGCGATAATCAGTCCCGATATCTCTAAGGAACCATTTGGTAAGATTCGAAAGGAAAACAATTATATATAGTATGTATGAATTAGGTCTTAAGTCTTAATATCTAAGTGTGCGCTTGCGCGTAAGTGTAATGACCACAGGTCTTACAGTCTCCCCTCCTATAAAAGGAAAAAAGCATGCCCAGCAGGTTTGTTGAAAGGAAACCGAAAAGAAAAAAAAATATTGAAGTTTGAAAGAACAGAAGAAAAAAAAAAGAAACAAAGAAAGCAACTATGTAAATGTAAGGTGAAATTAAAGCAGCTAAAAGTCAAATAAATAATAAATAAAAAAAACAGAAAGAAAAGAAAAGCAAAAAACAGAAAAGAAAAATTTGAGAGTGAGTGTTGAGGTCAAAATCTTGAGTTTGATGCTTGTCGCCAAAGTTTTTGTCCCCGGCCACCGACATCTAAGGGGAGAATGACGAAGTTGTTGTGCTCACAGAGTGGCCTAGGTCTTGCTTTTTGACATTTACGTAGTATACTACGGCGGTGCATACAGAGGAGAGGAACTTACTTCCACACTCCTTCACTCGGCGCCTCGACCTCTTCCACGTCCCGTTCCACATACGGCTTGACTTTTGAAATATGAAAAACATTGTGTCGACGATCCCCGTCTGGGAGCTCTAATTCAACATTTTGACCATGATTTGACGAGTTGATAACTTTGTACGGTCCTTCAAAACGTTCCTTGAGCTTGTTGAATCCTCCTTGATGCCGCCCTCGCCAGTCGGCGTTGTCCAGAAGCACCCAGGACTCCGGTAGCAGAGTATCAGCCGTTCGACAACGTTTGTTGTGTTGCAATGCCTGATGAACCCGACTGTACCAAAGCGCATCGCGTGCCGATGACCACGCGTCAAGTCGTGCGTTGTACCACTTGCTCAAGGGCGCAGGATCCGTCTCATCCGCTTCTTGTACTGAGAGAAACCGTTGTGGCCGGCCAAAGATGAGTTCAAACGGTGATTTGCCCGTGGAAATATTGATCGCGCCATTGATGGCGTACTCCACTGCCGCTAGAGATTCGAGCCATTTACCTTGCCTCTTCGACGCAAAAGTTCGAAGGATCTGACCTATTGTGCGGTTTGTTCGTTCACTTCTCCCATCAGCCTGAGGGTGAAAGGCTGTTGTCATGTGGAAACTCGTGCCGCAACGACGCATCAGTGCTTTCCAAAATGCTGATGTCCAGGTTTTATCTCGGTCGCTGATAATTGAGGCTGGCGCACCGAAGGCCCCAATCCATCCAGAGAAGAATCTTGAAGCTGTCTTTTCTGCATTGTCCGTCTGACCACAAGGAATTATCTTCGTGAATCCAGTTAGCCTGCACGTACAAGTCAAAATCATGTCGTAGTTGTTAACCTTCGGAAGAGGTCCAACAAAGTCGATAGCAAGACATTCGAGAGGTAGTTGAGGAATTGAAGGCGTCAGCATCTTTCCAACTGGAGCTTGAGTGGAGGTTTTTGTCCGCTGACAAACGTTGCATGATCTGACAAACAACTGCACGTCTTTTGCCATTCGTGGCCAGAAGAAGTCCTTCGAAGATCACCAATGGTCTTCAAATATCCTAGAGGTCCTATCCGAGATGCGTTCTCATCTATCAGATCTTCTCTCAGATTGGTGACTGAAGGGACATATAACCTGTTTTCAATGTACAGCATTCCATCTACCTCTACACAATCCTCTCTTAGAGGAAGAACCGCAACCACTGTGCTGTTTAAAGAATCGCCGTCGTAACCCTCCAGAATGCGTTTACGTACTTGTGGCAATAACATCGGACCTGCTTCAATCAAGGCTGCTACGCAATCCACCCCTTCATCATCAATCTCTTTTCTCGACAACGCGTCAGCTACACTATTTTCTTCACCTTTAATGTATTTGAAATCTATATCAAAATCTGCCAAAGTCTCGATCCACCTAGCTTGTCTTCTACTCAAGGTCCGTTGTTTGAGAAGATAGGTTAAAGAATGGTGATCCGACATGATGTTGATCTTCATTCCTAGTAAGAGCATCCTCCATTTATGCAAAGCATGCATCACCGCCAAAAGTTCTTGCTCGTGTACCGGGTAATTCTTCTCCGCCGGTGTCATTTGCCTCGACTCATACGCAACTGGTGAAGCTATCTTCCACTCCTTCCCTTGAAAAAGCGCGGCTCCCAACCCTGATCCACTCGCATCCGTAAAGAGCCAAACCGGGTCGTCTGATTCAAAATCAATGTTCTTCAAATGAGGTAATGACGTCATCAGTCGCTTAATATTATTAAAAGCATCCTCTTCTTCCTTACCCCACCTGAATTTAGTTGGGTCAAGCTTCGTGCTGGTGAGAGGTGTTAATTTATTGACGTATTTTTCTAAACCCCAGATGAATTTCTTCATCCACTGCACCGTGCCTAAGAACTTCTTGATACCCTTTGCTGACTTTGGTCTCTTCCAATTCAACACCTGCTCCACTTTCTCATCATCCACTCTAATGCCTTCCTCTGAAATCCAATGACCTAAAAATTTAATTTCTCTCCTGAATAATTTAGTCTTCTTTTTACTACAATATAAATTGGCTTCCCTCAACCGCTGTAAAACCAATTTTGTATGTCTCTCATGCTCTTCTAATGTCTTTGAAAATACTACAATATCATCTAGATACACTACACAGATGGTATTCAATAACTCCCCTAAAGCTTCTTCCAGTCTGCCTTGATGCGTACTTGGTGCGTTAGTCAGTCCCATCGGCATAACGCACCACTCGTAGAGTCCCCAAGGAGTATGGACTGCGGTTAATGGTATATCTGCTTCTCTCATCCGTGTTTGAAAAAAAGCGTTTGTAAGATCAATAATGGAAAAAATCTTTCCTGTTCCTACAAGTCTGACCAACGTGTCCACATTAGGTAATGGCGCACGGTCCCTCACGGTCATGCTGTTCAAGACGCGGTAATCGCATACCCATCTTGGAAGTTTGGTAGGGTCCTTCTTCGGAATAATGAGGCTCGGCGAGGCGTACTGACTAGTTGATCTTCGGATCCTTCCTGCAGCTAAGTGTTGATCAACCAATTTGCCCCACGCGTTCATGTGTTTCGGAGGATAATTGTAAGCCTTCTCTTTGATAACGGCGTCAGGATCCTTCAACACAATCTTGTGACGTATCTTCGAGCTCTCATTTTGTAACTTTTTCGGAAAGGAACTGTCCACAAACAGGCCTTCTTCTTCAGCTTCATCTGATACCGCCGGGATATCCACCGGGAATAGATCCTCAAATTCTTCAAGCATCCTCAATTCATATTTCTCATCATCACTTTTGAATAACTGACTCTCTTTCTTGCTGACTTCTTTCTCCCATGAGGACTCACATTCCTTTTCAGGTTCATTGATACGAGGCACAGATAACTTTTGAATTTTCTCATTCCACTCTTCTAATAACCGATAATCATAAATTTTAACACCAGATTTCTCGCACACAATAGCTCTTTGATGAATAGAAACTGAGATTTGAAAAAGATTAAAAAAAGGAGTTCCAAGGATCATGTCGAAGTCACCTCCCACCTCTCCCAGCTTACAAAGTGTCCTGTTGAATATTTTTTGTGACGTTGGTTCAACAAGGTCAATAGAAGTGAAGTGAGTAAGTACTGGTGGTGGTGAATCAGTGTCGACCGCTAGGCTGAGCTGCAACGGCTTGACAAGTTTACGCCTTTGAAGTTTAAGCCGCTCTGCCGCCCGTTCTGTTAGAAGATTGATTTCGGCCCCAGGATCAGCAAGGGCTTGTATCTTCTCGCCTTTGTGGATAAATTCAATGATGACACGCGGTGGTTTAGTAGGAGGTACGCACCCTTCGGCCTCGGCTAGCTCGAGCTCCTCATCCAATGCTTGGAGTGCCGCCACAGCGACATCGTCCATGTCTGGAAATTCGGTTGCCGCCGCCACCTTAGCATAGGACGGCGCTGGACGACCCGCTGGTGGTTGAGTTGCTCGGCCCGCTTGACTTCGGCTAGCTGGTGGCGAAGATTTGGCTCGAGGAGGAACGTAGTTGGCTGGTTTGGGGGGTGCGACGTAACCGGGAGGGAATACCACCTTTTCTCTGACATAAGGACCCTTACAAGCCCGATACTCGCTACCACAAAACCCCTTGCAAAAGTGGCATTGGCCAATCGAATCACGGTATGAGTGAATCTTCCAGGTGAATTCCTCGTCGCTCAATCGACCCGTCGCATTAGTCGTAGCAACACGTGAACGACCGTACGAGCTAGAAGAGTTGTATGATGTCGATGAGGCGACAGGTACCCTTGATTTCTTGACTATCGCATGAGATGCTACCAGGGAAGCATAAAGAGTTTCACATTGATTCTCGAACGTGTGGTAGACGAAATCTTTGGTAAACTTCGAGAAACCCCATAATTTAACGGCTGTCTTCAGTTCTTCCACCATACCATATTCGACAAATGTTGCTAGCTGATAGTCATTCAATCTGATGTCATGAAAGTTAATCAAAATCTGAATGCCGCGGGCTCTGGTGCTATAAGAGATGAAGTCTTCGTATTGCGACATCTTCAGGTGTTGTGCTTGTTCGTACAAACGATCCTTCCAGTCGACAGGCAAACAAGAGCTGAAAAGGCTGTTAAGGAAATCTTTCCAAGTCCCTTTTATAAAGGTGTCGAAGCCACCTTCATAGAAGGCATGGGCGTTCGGCTCTTCTAGAAAGTTGCCCACTAGCGTGATGCGATCCGAGTCTGACGTCACACCTTTAGTGCGGAAGAAGGTTCGCAAGGATGAGTACCAAAGCAGGAACGGCTCTGCTACTCGATAGGGACCCTTATAGACCGGGCCGTCCGATGTTCGGAATTTTGTTAGGTCTATCCCACTCGCTGGCTTGATGTCTGCTGAAGTGGACGTGCTAGAAGGTATGTCTTTAGATTCGACCATCTTCATCATGAAGTCTTCGAATTTCTCCATACGGCGGTTACTGGCAAGTTGTGAATCAATGATTGCCTTCATGAGGTCTGAGTTCGAATTACCCGGCACAGTCGTTTGATCGGTCATCGTCGGAAATGGCTTAGGTGAAGATTGATCACGAGTAGGGGAAGAAGGTATGGACGATAAAGGTGACTCGTCGGAAGATTCTGGCAGTGGGGGTAAGGCAGTTGTATCCGTACGAAGACGGTTTGGCGTCGCAGGTGGCACGTGGTCTGTTCGATTACGAGTGGGTGTAGCTGGCGGTAAAACTTGAGAAGCGGCTAGTCTGGCGATGGCTGGGTCTGGCCGAGAGATACGCTGCAAGCGTCGGTTCTCTCGTATGATTGCTTCCGGGTCTGGCAGAGGAGCTGGCGGAACTGTAGAATTGGTGGGGGGTGCTTGACGTCGTGTAGGCATACACGACGATCAAGTGTGGGGGTTGTACGAATGCGGAGTAGTGGTGATTAAAGTTGACAAGGTTATTCGGAATCAATAGAATCGAAGTCGCCCATTCAGTACGTTTTTTCAAGTATCGATTTGATTGAATTAAGTTTGATAAAAAAAATATTCTCAGATTTTTTTTTTTTTGGTTTGAGAAAAAAAAAGTGTAAGGTTCGGAAGAACCTTCACTAGATACTTCGAGAGCGGGACGCTGTGAGGCACAGCGGAAGGGTTTTCTAGAACCCAAGAGACCTGATTTTTATATTACTAATCCAAAACGAGAACACGTCTGGTTCCGAAGGATAGAGGGCGATAATCAGTCCCGATATCTCTAAGGAACCAACAACAATAAAGAGAAAGAAAGATAGAAAATGAGTTAAATGACTATACCTGGTTCCGAAGGATAGAGGGCGATAATCAGTCCCGATATCTCTAAGGAACCATTTGGTAAGATTCGAAAGGAAAACAATTATATATAGTATGTATGAATTAGGTCTTAAGTCTTAATATCTAAGTGTGCGCTTGCGCGTAAGTGTAATGACCACAGGTCTTACACTGAACTGGCTAGATTACTGTTGTCCATCGACACCGCGTCGGCTCAATGTAACATAGGAAGATCAGTGTACCGGATCTGCACAGAGTCTCTTTCAAAAACTTAGATCACTATTGCCGCAGCGTTTGTAACCTGTCAACCAGAAGCCATTAGCAATTATTGTCATTGTGACGAACATCACAATCACTTACGCGAATAGAAAATGTTGAAGTTGTATCATTGAATCCAACGACGTTGCCCTCAATGTGAACTACATTACCGGTCGCAAAGGTTTCTGTTCCAAGGCGGAGCAGCGTCCATATGTTCACCACGTATTCCGTGGTAAATTCCTGAAATTGTAACATCTGCAAACACCGTTCTCAGTCATTGTCACATAAGTCAGAGATTCCGACGTACTGACGGGTCCCAATTTCGGTGTAGCACGGTAAATACCCATGTCTCCCTGTCATGGTCATCTGGGTGTTCAATCACACGCTCAATCACTCTGCCATGCCCAGCGGTGGTGGTTCGATTCGCCAGTGAGCGACGAGTAAGAGAAAGTGGCCCCAGACAAATGGTTGATCCGGTCTCCGGAAAGAGAGAGACAATGTTGTTAGAGTTTTCACCGAGGACTGAGGCCTCAATTCTGTATGCGTAATTCGAAGCGAGGGTGGAGCAGGGCGCAGCTGAGGCTACAATAATTGGAATGTTGGCAATCCGAACGTTCCGGCTGTATAGATACGATGACCAACGCTGGTGCGTGACACAACTATTTTGTGGGGATGCAAGCTGACAAGAGAAGTTAGCCAAGTTCAGATGATGCCAATAGCGGACTCCACTTACTGCCGCTCCTAATGTTATGACGGTGTGGAATCGAAGTGGAAATACACGACGCGCCTCAAGATTTTCGCTCTCGCCAGCCATGCTCACTTTCAGACTGCTCTCCGATGCTAAAATCAATGACTTTCGTGGGCCGGTTGTTGTTGTATAAGTAGCACCGAAAAATGTTGCCGACACGATGCAACAGTTGACAATGGAATACTCCGGACTAGATTTATTATGAATGCTCTTGAGTTTATAAGCCAAAAACGAACGTTGTTCAATGGGCTTGCGCGTTGATGATTCCGACGATCTCAATGCGCACCGGTCGCTTGGTTGATTTCATCACCACACTCGTTGTCCTGAACAGTGCGAAGTAACCTATTCAGGTCCAGCGCGTCGCCATCCACTGTGATAAAGCTAGACTGGGCCCGTTCGGCGAACATCTAATGAGTCTGCGCCAAACCCTGAGCTCCATGATTAATCCGGATGGCAAGTGTTGGAGGGGTATGTCAATGAGCAAAATCAATTAGAGCGACGATGAACACTTGCACGGACGTAAAAATGCACAGTTGCAATCTATGCATAAAGGCAATAATGTCACCAACACATTCTGCCCGTTGTATCCGCCAATTCCATCAAACTCAATCTCTTCAGACATTTTCAACATCAAAATTGTAAGTCCTCTCTAATAGCGTACTATTCGTGGTAACTGATTTCGGATTACAATGTGGCTCAAGGTCAATGGACAATCCACAGATCGTAATCGTCACCATCGCTGGAAGCGCTCCTCTGCTCTGTATCACTGCCGTCGAATATCAGCAACGAGGTCGGCCGCATGTCCATTTCATTCCATTATATCGCCATCAAGCATCGATTTTGGTCAGTGTTAACGACATACACTCTAACCTGCAGCATGCTACTCACATCGTATTCTTTTTTATTAGTCGCAGCTCAATGTCAACACCAACGAGGATCCTCAACGCAGCCAGAATGTCGACGTAGCTGAGATTCATCTGACTGACATGAGTGTCACGAATGCTTAAATCACGGTCCATTGATCTCTTTAACATCAACGTGTCAATGAATGTGCGATAATCAGCGTTGTTTTTTTTACACTTTCATAAATCTTAATATATAACGACTACACCGACAACACAATCACAATATTCAGTTTGGCAGGAGATCAATTGCTGAAATACAGTCGAACGAGGTCTCGAGTCTCATCATCATGCCAGAGGCATTTGCGTTGCGGTATTTGCCTTGGTAAACAGAAGATTCAGTATTGATACATTGAGACCAGAAAGCATAGCGAAACGATTAAACACACATTCAGTAACCAAGTGTTGTCGCTTTTGTAATATCCTTGGACGTTGCCTTTGAAGTGTAGTACGTTGCCAACGATCAATGAGTCGCTGTCCGCAGCATTTGCGTCGGTTTGCGAATATTGATATCTGGCTACAAACTCAACGTAGCAGAGATCCTAATATTCGAACGCCTCAATACCAATATTTAGTCGCCAACTCTACCATATGAGAAAAAGAGTGATGCACAAACCGCAGGGTCCCAATCGCGGTGGGCTACCTTCACGACGATGTCGCCGACACTCGGTCGGTCGAGTCTTTCTATGACTCTGCCCTGACCACGAATGTGGAGATCATTGGACAGAGCCCCGTGACACGGGTAGAGCATAGCACTTGGTGCATTAGCATAGTAGTCGGGATAGAGGACTGGGGGATAGCCACGGTGACTGGTGATGAGATTTCCGCTGATCGTGTAGGAGACTCCAGTGGTTATAGCTCGGGTGTACATGCTGTCAGCCACTAACACTACAAAAAATGTCATCTTTTCCCATGGGATCAGAAAACCCAAGGTAACATAGAAAACTGAGACTATAGTTTTCTAATCTCATGTGCGGATATTTTTATTCTGCCTGTTTGAAACCATATTCAGGTTATACTGTACTACATAGGAGGTCAACCCATGTAGAGTAATCTACATTCACAACAAAATTTGAGGGTCCGTCTTCAGGCTTTCATTCTTAGAAGTCAGATAATCCT